AACAAACATTTAAATAAAGATAAAAGAACAATTTAGTTTACGTTTTATTAATTTAAAATGAAAACTGAAAATATAAAATAAAAGCTAATTAAAAATATTCATAAATCCTTTTAATATACTTAAATGTATTAAATGAATAAATAAAAACTTATATTTTATAAACATTGACCTGAATCTTTAAGAGGAATCTGAATCACAATCATTTATCGACATCCAACACAGTAGTGTTTTTCTTGAACAAATGAAAATGAAACCACTGAACACAATTTTTAATGCGAAGCTCAGTACCCTTAATAGTTTGTGTTGTTGGTTTATAAATGTGTTTTTTTATTATTGATGGTTTCATGCTCTCATCCAATAATTGATTTCAACGTGGGCTGCATGTTTATGTTTGTTGCGAGTGAAGTCCTAAATTAAATTTAATTTGGACCATGTGGATCTCAAACTGTCAAAATTGCATTTTGCATTGTTTTTCCCCTTCAGAACAGACCTGTGACCCATTTCTGAGTCTCTCCCCACCAGTTGAGAAGCATTGGTCTGGGCGTCTCAGAGAAGTGATCTAAATGCTCTCAAGTTAAAGCGCTTGTGTTTCTGTGGCCCGTCATCAACAGCAGGGTCAATACTCATTGTCTCAAGAGGCCTAATGGAGAACACACGGGCCCATCCTAATCAGAGGTGGTTATTCATAGCAGCGCACTCGCTCTAAATGCATTCATGAAGTATTCATCAAGCCTCAAACAGGCTTTTCATCTCTTTAAATCAGCCTGTAAGCTGTTTTTGTTTGTACTTTCTTAACCAACATATCTAATACGAGAGCTAGTTAGTTATTGCCTCAATCATGAAGGCTTCCCTCAGACTCGGCTCGCTGTTAACACATTTGATGAGTTTGCCCTCTATTTTTCATCCGTGTACTTTTCTCTCTCTGCTTTCTCTGGATCCGTTTCAACGGTTTGCACAGTTGATTTGTTGCCATGGTGATTTTACTTGCCTTAAATGTCAGCAAGTGAACTTCACTGATCTTTATGTCTCGCTAGACTGCCGTCCTGTCTTTTTCTTTTTTTTTTTTTTCTTGCCTATTTTATTATTTTGGTTAATGATTTTTTTTAGTTAATGCATTAGGTACCAGGAATTAAAAACAAACAATACTTTTACAGCAGTTATAAATCTAGGTTTTTCAATTGTATGAATTAACATATATGTACAAAAATGAATTAACAATGAACAAGCGTATTTATAAATTACCATTAACCATTAAAATCAGAGGCGGACAAAGTACTCAACTCCATTACTTGAGTGAAAGTACAGATACTGCTGGTCAAATATTACTCCATTACAAGTAAAAGTTGTAAAGACAGATTTTTACTTAAGTAAAAGTACAGAAGTACTTGCTTTTAAAATTTGAATAGGGAGACATCTAAAATGTGCAGTGTTGGGGGTTCTCCAGAACCAGGATTGGGAACCACTGTGTAACGACTTTCTACTTCGAGGACCTTGATAGAAATGTAGTGAAGTGAAAAGTACAATATTTGTCTTTCAAATGTAGTGAAGTTAAAGTTATAAGTTCCCAGAAAAAATAATACTCAAGTAAAGTACCGATACTCAAAAAGTGTACTTAAGTACAATACTCAAGTAAATGTACTTAGTTACTGTCCGCCTCTGATTAAAATGCGTGATAATTTTTCATAACTAATGCTGTAATGTTAACCAATTGAACAATATTGTAAAGTTTTTTTTGTTTTTTACTTTTTAAATGCCTGGAAATAATAATAATAAAGGCAAGTACAATGCAAAGGTAAATATACAATACAAATAAACACAACAATGAGATTTTATTTTTGTAATGATTTTACATTCCACAGTTTTAACAGAATTATTTTCTCTCTCTTTTTTTTTTTCTTAAAAGTCTTTTTACTTGAATGCTGCCACACAAATCACCTAAAGCGCCCATAAATATGTCAGAAACCTCTTCTGAATGCTTCCCATGAAGGCTGCTGAACCCATATTTCATCAACGCAAAGTAGAGAAGGAGAGTTTTCAGTGAGCTGATCCCATAATGATCCCATAAAATTGTTTTGGAAGAAGTGCTGGGATGTATCATATGCTCTGCAAAACTTCATTTGGCAGCTTGTTTCACGAATGAACGCAATGAAAACTCTCAAAATGAATGAACTTGTTAAAGGAACTGAGCACCAGTGTGACCAACGATGCTTTGTTTCTTACTATTGCTATTTGGAAGCAGGTGATATTTATGATTTAGGTTGTTTAGCTTCAATTAAAATGAAATGCACCTGTTAAAGGGATAGTTCACCCAAAAACCAAACCTGTATAAGTTTCTTTCTTCTGTTGAACACAAAGAAGACATTTTGAAGAATGTTGGTAACCAAACAATTGCCCCCCATTTCTTTTCAAATGATGACAGAATTTTCATTTTTTTGGGTGAGTTATCCCTTTAGTCAACATCTACAGGATTACTAGCAACTTACAGGCAGGTTATGCCAGAAGAGAAAAATGATACATTTTAAATGAGTTTTCCCACAACTTTTGACATTTTCATGACTTTTTTTTTTTTGGTCCTTTGTTATTTTAAGCTGCAGTCCGTAACTTTTGGCGCTCTAGCGGTTAATAAACAGAACTGCATGCGTCTTGCGGAAGAACATTGTAGCCGGAGCTACTTCTCTCTGTTTATGTCTATGGCGAATCACGCAGGTACTGGGTTACTCCGCAGCGGTACCTACCCGAATCAGTCTAAATAGTCCGAATATAAACATTTATTATAGGTGTACCGTAGGGATTCTGGATAAGCCAAAAACACTGTTTTGAAAATGGATTAATGGTGTACTCGCTTATTATATAAATTGTTAATTTTGAACACAAAAAAAGTTACGGACTGCAGCTTTAAGGATTTTTTTAATGAATAAAAAATAAAATGAGAAGGATTGTACTCATGAAGAGCAATGTATGGGCAATGAAATATTTTTGTGCAGGGTCTTACTATACATCCACTATAGAAATTCTTGACATTTCATGACTTTTGATTAATTCCATTACTTTTCCAGGGCTGGAAATCACAATTACCTGATATTCCTAGGTTTTCTATGATGATGTGAGTCGGAGTCTTTCCGTGACCCATTAAATCTGCTAAAGGTTGGCTTTGTCAATGTTTAGGAGTACACCAGTACATATATATGACTTAAAAGTCAATAAACATGGATATTTCATAGTCTTTAAATATGTAAGTGCCCTTTCTTTTACTGACAGACTTAAATGGACACCAGGCTAACTGCTAGTGGATCTGCTGGCCGTCATGAACTCTCTGGAATTCCTCTATGGAGGAACTCTATGTGAGGAAGTCTATGAAAGAGACCTGGCAGGTATTTTTTGGCAAATCTCCCTTCTAGAAATCTGTAAACATGGTTTTGCGACAAAGCTAAATCTCCTAGTGTAGGTTTTTGGCATGATTGAGTGTGCCGATTCGCCAGTGACCCTCAACGCGTGTCCCATTGTAGTGCGCCGTTTTATGGCTGCTCAAGTGATTGTTTATGTGTTGTTTATAGAATGTGAAATGGATAATAAAATGTTTCAGATTTTGAAAACGAATGCGTGAGAAGAGAAATAATGCAAACAGCTTGAGAGCTTGTGCTTGCCACCCATCCTCCATGTCGAGGTCACGATTCCACAGATGTACCTCTTTTGTGCACCACTGCTGTCTCATGTAATCAGGAGGCACTTACATACCACGTCCTGTTTCGGGAGTTCCCTTTAAGTAAATAGACGCATGGTTAAACAGAGCAGGAAGTTGGATTCAAATGAGGATTTCTTTTGTCAGCGCATAGATGCTTTCAGAAGAGAAGTCAGCATGCGTTCCCATCAAATGGCATAAATGCCTCCTTCCAGACAAGCTTAAGGCAGTATCAGTGTGATGTTGAGTTGTCTTTCTGTCTCTCTGCGTACTACGTCAGTCGTGTCTACAGGGACAAAGTGGTCGGCTGTCTAAAACAGGATATGGAATCTTTCCTTTCCAGTAATTCTTGGTTGAACAAAAGCCTACCTGATTTCCCCCAAGGCAGGTTTTTGATTTTATGCATTTTTTTTTTTTATGTTACCTTTTTTGTATGGAGACCGCAAAACACTCTCACACACATACTATATTGATTGTAGCTAAAGAATTTGCACACTTCCTACACACTCATTCAAACTGATGATGACCGTAATTACTAAAAAACAAAGAAAGAAGCACATAATAAAACCGAGAGCATGTTAGAAATGTCCGCTGATACCATATGGACATGAATAAGAAATGAAATATGGAAAATGCTCCAAAAAATGTCTTTCCTGTTAGGATTTTTTTTTCTCTTCTGGAATAGTATAGGTATTATTTTTCTCTTTACAATTTGCTGTACAGCAATAGCAACATAACGTCATGAGCAGGCATCTCCAATTCCTGAAGTCTTCCTCATTTACGCACGAGCGGATCCTTTACATAATAAAACCGAGAGCATGTTAGAAATGTCCGCTGATACCATATGGACATGAATAAGAAATGAAACATGGAAAATGCTCCAAAAAATGTCTTTCCTGTTAGGATTTTTTTTTCTCTTCTGGAATATTATAGGTATTATTTTTCTCTTTACAATTTGCTGTACAGCAATAGCAACATAACGTCATGAGCAGGCATCTCCAATTCCTGAAGTCTTCCTCATTTACGCACGAGCGGATCCTTTAGCCACATCCCAAGAGTCCGAGACCAATCGGCGGGTTTAGACACAACAGATCCAAACTGCATCAAAGATGTGAAAGAAACTTGGTCCTGGTGCTCCTGATTACTCTGAACTCCTGGGCTTCAAACATTGGCACTGGACCTCCATACTTGCACATGGTGCCGTCCAGATACAAATACAGTAGTCTCCATGTTTGGCATTTTTTAGGGTCAGCCTACATGTCAATATCCATCCTTGCGGCATCGGAATGAGCAATACTGTTTGTTTTTTTTGCTTCATTCGTCACCGTTTTCTTGTGCTCACGAAAGTCACAACTTTGACAGAACAAACGTTTTCCTGTGCAGGATCTCCCCAGGCGCAGAACATTGACCAGCCGTAACCGTGACTGATGTCGTCTGGGAGGCCGTACATGTAGCGAGGGTAACGGGACAGTTCGAAATTGATGCCTGCTACACAGGTGCACAAGGAAATGATGCAAAATGTGCCTGAAAAAGAGAAAGACAATCATCAGAATACTTCAGTAGCTTTGATCCTAAAACTGGATAAGTTGCCTTTGCTGTATGCCTCAGCATCCCAACTGAAGTTGAATACATTTGCTGTGCTGATTTTGAGAGAAATTCAGGGATTCAGTTCTGTGGAAATCAGTGAAGAGCAGTAATTCTCGACTCTGGCCCTCGAGGTCCACTGTCCCGCAGAGTTTAGCTCCAGCCCAAATCAAACACACCTGCCTGTAGCTTTCTAGTGATCCTGAAGACCTTGATGAGCTTGTTCAGGTGTGTTTAAGTAGGGTTGAGAACCCCTGCTGTCTTGTGACTTGTACAAATAGTGGTCTTACATGCTAAGCTAATATTTTAATTAGCAGCAAAAAAAAACTTATATAAAAATAGCACAGCAAACACAGATATTGGGTAAATAGAATTTTTTTTAATTAAGAAGATTTTTGTAACACTTTAGGGACCAATTCTCACTATTAACTAGCTGCTTATTAGCATGGATATAACTAGCATACTGGCTGTTTCTTATTAAGCACATATTAATGCCTTATTCAGCATGACCAAGTTTTTTAAAGATAAGTTTAGTTCACCAACCATTTCGCTGTGAGCTCAACGTTACACTTCAGCAATGTTAAAATAGGTGTATAACTGTGCATTCTACTTTAGTTTTGGTCTCTATTGACTTTCCTGATTATATAAATGTGATAACTTTAGAATTGCTATGACTGCATATACATGCAAATAAATATGACTGAAATTAGAGGACTGGAGAACAAAAACATCACAAGCTGGCTTTGATGAGACAGAAGTCGTTTAAATCTACTACCGTTCAAAACTTTGGGGTCAGTAAGATTTTATTTATTTAGTTTAATAAATTAATATGTTAATTCAGCAAAGATGCATTAAATTAATTAAACGTGACAGTAACATTTAGTGTTACAAAAAAATTCTACAGTATTTCAGATATACAGTATCTCACAGAAGTGAGTACGCCCCTCACATTTTTGTAAATATTTTATTATATCTTTTCATGTGACAACACTGAAGAAATGACACTTTGCTACAATGTAAAGTAGTGAGTGTACAGCTTGTATAACAGTGTACATTTGCTGTCCCCTCAAAATAACTCAACACACAGCCATTAAAGGGGTCATATGATGCGATTTCAATTTTTCCTTTCTCTTTGGAGTGTTACAAGCTCTTGGTGCATAAAGAAGATCTGTAAAGTTGCAAAGACTAAAGTCTCAAATCCAAAGAGATATTCTTTATAAAAGTTAAGAGTCAACCACGCCTACCTAAAACGGCTCGTTCTAACACACCCCCACATACCTACGTCACGATCTCGGAAGATTTGCATAACGCCGCCCAAATATTCACGCAAAGAAAGAAGGCGTAACTTATATTGCCCTGCACCTTTTGTATGTCTCCCTTATCTAACACACCTGATTCCACTCATCAGCTTGTTAGTAGAGACTGCAAGAACTAAATTGGGTGTGTCTGATTAGGGAGACATACAAAATGTGCAGGGCAGGGGGTCCTCCAGGACAGGTTTGGGAACCACTGGTTTAGACATTAATGGCTGTGTGTTGATTTATTTTGAGGGGACAGCAAATTTACACTGTTATACAAGCTGTACACTCACTTCTTTACATTGTAGCAAAGTGTCATATCTTCAGTGTTGTCACATGAAAAGATATAATAAAACATTTACAAAAATGTGAGGGATATACTCACTTCTGTGAGATACTGTATATGCTGTTTTTTTGATCAGAGTTCCTGATAAGAAATGTTTCTTGAACACCAAATCAGCCTGTTTGGCTGAAGAGAATCTAGAAATCCATTGATAATTGTAAGTGAATTTGCAGCGGCAGCTTCCAGTCTATACACGGTCATTGATTACAATTCATTTTAGCCTATTTTTAACATGCGGTGCTGCATTGGCTGTGTTATACTTAAGATAAGGTTGTCATTACATAACATTGCAGAGACATTCCATCATGCAGTTGCAGACTCGGCATATTCACAACTCCCCTTTCTCAAGCCTTGTTACATATATTACAAGCTTTATCTGCAAGTCGAGCCCTGTATAGATGACTGTGACGAGAGGGGCGGGGCCGAGAGCCGTGGGAACGGAGCGAGGCCGGTGGAGTTATTGTTAATGCGCGACACCTGCGCCACTCATCGGTCTCGAGTCTCACGGAGGAGCTCCGGAAGGATAAAAGGGAGGAGTGACGACAGTGTTGGAGGAGAGAGGATCAGGCCTGGACTTTATTTTGTGTTTTGGTTTTGTTTGTGCGCCACAGTCGTCCGCGAGGGGCTGTCGTGCTATTTTGTGTTTGTTTATTTTATTAAAGATTTCATTGAGTGTTCGCCGGTTCCCGCCTCCTTCTTCCCGAACTATGAACTTTGCTACAATGACGCTGTCATAACATGTTAGTTGATAAAGAGCTCTAACAAACTAATTTTCCCGCACCATGTGACCGAAAGAACTTTCAGAGGGGATTCATCCTGCCATAATCTGACCCTCAGCACTCCTTCTGCCTTTATAATTTAGCATCTTAATTGGCTTTTTAATTGCCATCTCATTATTCAGGCGCAGGGCATCGCATTAATCCAGCGCACACCTTAATTGCGCCGCCGCCGCACTTATGGGAGCGGAGAGAATGACGCAAAACAAGTCAGCCGCTTCCTCTGCTCGACGGGCGTTAACAGAATATCAGAATGCAAGGTAACGAGGCCACAGGCTGTGTTGCTTGGTGTGAGCATCTGTGTAGTGAGGTTATGAGCTTGTGGGTGCATTCAAAAAAACAAAGCGATGCTCGCTGTCGAGAGCCTCGATATTGGTTGGCGTAAAGTGAGATAAGAGATCAGGAGCTAATTGATATTACATAATTGCTTTAATGCCGGCTTCCTGGCTGTCACTCATTAATTAATGCAGTCATGGGGTGACTTGCGTAGGAATTGACTAGGACACTGAGCTTAGCACACAGTATTGCTGAGAGTGGATGTTAGCATGTTACTTACTTTAGTCTTACTTTAGAGTGTGTGTGTGTGATTTTATGTAATAAATATACAAGACTTTATTAAAATATTTTTAATAAATTCACAGTTTAATTATATATAATTATATAAAATAGTATACGTATGGATGTGTAGGCTATGTATAATATTATATATTTATATATGTGAGCTTAGCACACAGTATTGCTGAGAGTGGATGTTAGCATGTTACTTACTTTAGTCTTACTTTAGAGTGTGTGTGTGTGATTTTATGTAATAAATATACAAGACTTTATTAAAATATTTTTAATAAATTCAGTTTAATTATATATAATTATATAAAATAGTATACGTATGGATGTGTAGGCTATGTATAATATTATATATTTATATATGTGATTTTTTTTAATTAAATGTTTCTTAAACTAACAATATATTCATTTATGATTATTCTGTGAAGTATTCCAAAAGCATTTAAAGTCATTTGCTTGTTATTACTAAAGTGTATTCTCTTCATTATGTTGATATTTTATTTAATAGACTTTATGGGATTATTATTTTATTTTTATTTTTTCAAAATAACCCGAATGGAAACACATTTGAGAGAAGTTTTCCCATTCAGGTAAATTATTGCAGTGTTTCCCAACCCAAGGCACATCAACACTACACATTTTTTTTCAAAATCCTCCTAATCAAACACCTGATACAACTCATCAACAGCTCGTTAGTAGAGACTGGGTCAGACAAGTCAGACATCCAAAATGTGTGCCTTCAGGATCAGGGCTGGGAAACCTAGCAGTGTAAAGCCCATTACATAAATTTTTTATTTTTTTTTATTGTCCAAAAATTTGTCGCAGTTTTTTTTTTTTTGACAAAATCACTTATCATAGATTCCAAATCTACTTCCAGCTTGGACAAGTTTGATGGAGCAATAGATGCAGGAGTTTTTTCAAGGTGAAAAGCTATTGATTCATATTACATTACATCTAGGTTTTATAAATTGTGCCAAAATAATCTAAATGAATAAGTTGAATTTTGACCAAATTTCATTCATTCATGAAGCATAATTTAATAATTTGTAATAATTAGTTCATCAGGGAAAATGTTAACATCCTCACATTATTTATGCAATATACACACACACACACACACACACAGTGGAGATCAAAATTAGAGAACAACCTATAATTTCCAAAATTTCAAGGTCACTTAGTCCTGTTTGAAGTTATGGGCAGTAGAAGGGCAATTTTTTTAAGCATATTTCATAAATTTATTGTATTCTGTAGCACTTAAAGGATTTAAATGATGCAAAATATACATAATAAATATACACAGTACACACATATATGTAAACACATACTTTTATTTTGGATGTGTGTTTATATATATATATATATATATATATATATATAAAAAATGCAATTTAACTTGACATGAGTTCCTACATTTTTTAAATACTTCTCATTATGACATTTTCGTGTACATACTGTAAATAGCCTATATTGTCCATGTAGGTTTGTTTTGAGTTGACTTACCTCCCATGAGGAAGAGCAGACCTGCCACATACTGCATGAGGCCACGGTCCCAGCAGCATCCCAGCATCCCAATAATCCAGCCGAAGAGGATGATGGCCACCGCCATTCCCATAAATCCTGCCGTCATCCTCCGCAGATCTGTGGGCGGCGAGAAATAAGGCAAGTCAAACACATGACTCAGAGCTGATAAGGGCACGGCGTGGACACGCTCGGCAAAATGATGCATTTCAATGAGCGCTTCTATAAACACTGTAATATGTTCTATTTTATTACGTTATCTTCTCATATATTCATAGCTTTTGTTTTTTTCAGCCAGCTTCATCAGGTGATCCATGGGATGCTTTTAACTATTAAATGAGTTCTTGTGTATTCTTTTGACAATCTAGAATTTGGTAGTTTGTTGTAGCAGAATTCAAAACTGAAATAGAAAATTAATATAACTGCATATACAAAGTTCAAAAACTTTATAAATCCTGCAATAATGCCCTGCACTTGCCCTGCTGTGAGCGTTTGAGTGTACGGCAGGGTTGACTCTGTTAGCTGGGTAAGTCGCAACATTTGTGTTCGTTAGCTCTTTTTAATCTCACAGTTGAATTCTCACAGTATAGGAGAGGTGGCAGGCCCAAAACGCCAGGCACGGTGGCTTATGCCAGCCAACTGAAAGGGTCACAGAGTTCACCTCCAGGGCAGATGCGCCACTAGATGAGCATGCTGTAAGAGAGCTTTTATTACTTTCTAATAGAGATGAGGTGTTACAAGCTTTTTTTTCATCAAAGTCATATCAAAAAGAAAATGTCAGATCTTTATGAAACAGCAATTCATCATTCCCACATCTCTGACAGGATATTCAGCAGATGCTTGTTTGTTATTACTTAAATTGAAAGTGCCAGGTTTCATGAGCGGATGGAAGCCGGTTTCCTCATCTATGAAAAATTGTGATGTTTGCTTTTCGCAATTGTGCCTTTTGTGATTTTCTCAAATTTCCTCAATTTGCAACTTTATATCTTTATATACAGTGTATGTCTATTTCTTGCAATTGCAACCTATTCTTTGACTTTGTGACTCTGTTTGTTGATTTTAAACATTTTATCTCGCAGAGTGACTATTTCTTGTATTTGTAGTTTTATTTCTCACAATGTGACTTCATTTTTCACAATTGCATCTGTTTTCAGTAATTGCGACTTCAAAATGCGACAATGTGACTTTCTTGTATTTGCAACTTCATCACAGTGCAACTATTTCTTGCAGTTGCAACTTTGCTTCTCATAACTGTGACTTTATCTTACAATGTGACTTCATTTCTCACAATTGCAATTAATTTCGGTAATTGTGACTTTATATCACAAAATTTGACCTTCTCATATTTGCAACTTTATTTCTCACAATGCAACTTTTTTCCCTGTAGATGCAAATTTGTTTTTCGTAACTGACTTAGGGACCTATCTTGGAGCACTGCCGCGCCAGGCTTTTTTGCTAGTTTCAGCCTGACGCAGTTGTCATTTTCACGTCCTGCACCACGTTGTTTAAATAGCAAATGCATTTGCGCCCATTTGTGCGCCCATGGGTGTGCTGGTCTGAAAACGAGGTGTGTTCAGGCGCATTGCTGGCGCGTTGCTATTTTGAGGCAACTGAAATAGACTGCGCCATTGACCAACAAAAACCTGGTCCGAAGTCTGGCGCAATATTTTATTTTTGTTATTTAAAGAGCGTGTTAGTAATATGCGCCTATAGGCAGGTGCACAACGCGCGCACACTTTGCTTATTACACACACAGGGATGCGCAGCAGCACACAAACATTTTTTAAAATTACAAATTAAAGGATTAAAATGTAAAAGATTATTACTGTGTACATAAATATAAAAATGCCTACATGTCATAATGGATAGTCTTTACATGTATCAGAATTACGCGCACAAGCAGATCCAATTCCTCGCTAGTGAAGCGATCAGTTTTTCTGCTTGCAAATTCCACCATGGCGCAAGTGCAACTGGCTTTTAAAGGGAATGGGAGATGAGACTCTGATTTGGTTTATTGCACGTTACGCAATAGAATAGGAACAATTCTTTTAGACCATGCGCCGGGCACGCCGACCATTTTTCCCATCCTTAAACTAGCAAAAGTAGATTCGGACATGCCCTAAGTGCAATTGCGCCGTGCGCTTTAGACCATGCGCTTAGATCGTTAAAATAGGGCCCTTGATCTCATAATGTGACTTTCTCGCAATTGCAACTGTTTCGGGGACTTAATATCTCACATTGTGATATTCTGGTATTTGCAACTTTATTTTTCGCAATGCAACTATATTTCTTGTAGTTGCAACTTGTTCCTTGTAACTGTGACTTAATCTTACAATGTGACTCTCACAATTAAACAATTTGTTGGGGAAATTGCAACTTTACATCTCAGAATGTGAATTTCTAGTATTTGCAACTTTTTCACAATGCAACTTTATTTATTGTAGTTGCAACTTTTGTTTCTTGTAAGTGTGACTTAATCTTACACTGTGACTCTTGCAACTGAACAAATGTTTTGGGTAATTGTGACTGCATCTCACAATGTGGCTTTCTAGAATTTGGAACTTTGTTTCTTGTAACGGTGACTTAATCTTACACTGTGACTCTTGCAGTTAAACTATTGTTTAGGTAATTGCGACTTTTTCACAATGTGACTGTAGTAATTGCAACTTTATTTCTCACTATGGCAGCTTTATATTTCGGTGTGACTTTATAAATCACAATTTTTTATTTTTTTACTCTGAGGTGGAAACGACCATAGAAGTACTATTTGTGTCTCATAAAACTTTTCACAGAGTGTTTGATAGACCTGTGCCATCTGAACTTTCATGTTTGGTTGTATTTCTCTCCCTTATAAGTTGGTTTGGAACTGTTACTTTGCTGTCCTTTGAGAAAGCTCAGTTATGACCTTTATATATGGTTTACTGCAATATTGCTTCAATAAAATTGAGCAGAGCCTTCACAACATTGGAACAGTTGGTGTGAAACAAGCAAGGTTATGTTATAAATTGATCCTTTAAAAAGAGTTTAAAGAGAAGTTAGCCAAGTCATACTATAAAATACATTGTGGTGTAAAAAACAAGAGTGTTATTTAAACATTGAGTCAGACTACAAACACTTCACCACACATCTCATGGAAAGCTTACTTGGGTACAGCCTAATTTTAGTTTCTTACGTCGAAGCCCATATAATCTTTGTTACATAATAATATAGACTTTGTTGTTGTAGAAATGGGGTAGTGTCAGTGAGCATGTAAGCAACAGCATGCATTCTGAATCAATAAGTGCTCAGGTATAGTCATATAAATTGCTATAGATTATACAAGAGTTATATCCATGCAACGTTTTAGCTTTGTGGTCGTCAGTGACTTCACCTGTTAAGAGAAATGAAAGAGAGAAAGCGGTTTACATGAAGTCGTGAACCTTTCTCAGTTAGGTGCAAATTATAAAATGCAGTTTGCTACCTGAATGGCAGCTTTGGTCTCTCATGTTGAGAGAAACATGTTATGCCTCAGAGAGCAAAGTATTGAATTTATCTTCCCTTAAATGTTTTTACGGAGCTACTGGTTATAAAAAATCATGTTTATGCAGTTTTTCATGAGTGTTGCACAACTTCATTCTGTAATAAGTACAGTATAGAAGTATGGTTTGACTTTAGTAAATTATTTTATTTGTTATTTTACTAAACAGACTCTGCTGTATGAATATTTACTAAAAAATGAACTAATTTTTAATTGCTTTAAACATGTGTTGCAGCTTTCGCATACTGAGTGGTTACTTTCCATTGTGCGTTTTCTGAAATATTTATCTACCTAGCAGGTGTGAAAGAATGCTTGGTTGTCTGGAGATTGTGGAAGGGTTTCTTAAAGCTTCTTATGCAATCTGCAGACTGATGCTAATCCAGACTGTCAGCATCATTCAAAATGTATATTAACTAGAAAAGCATGTCAACGAGAGTACAAGAGCGCAGAACACTAGACACTAGCTCTTCTGGAAACAGGCCAGGAGAAGTCTCTGTAGTTGGCCCTCTCCTTTTGTTTGATATTCTTGTCGTTTTTGTATCTCTGTGTTTCGTAACCTGCTGGGCTTCCAGATGTGTCAGGTTCTGCCAGATCTTTGTTCCCCACGCTCTCAAGCACTGAATGAGAAAGCAGACCGTAAATGCTGTACTGCAAGCAAATGTGCGCTTTCAAAGTCTCTAAAGGGAAGAGAGTGTAATTATGTGTGGCACAGGATCTTCACCAATTAGATACTTTTTAATCGAAGAGGGGGAAATATATAGACTGTACTGAAGCTTGATTTCTCAGAATTCATGACCTGAAATGTCAGATCTTTCAAATGCAGTTTTTACACTGGAATATGCCATGAATTCTTGAAATTATGGACTGCTCCCTTAGGGCTGGACCTGATGAGATTATGCTTCCTCAAGATGAAATGTATAGTCAGGATTTGAATCTCTTCTATGTGATCACCCACTGTTTTAGCAATGAATACTATAAGGATATATGTAAAGCAGGGGTTCTACACCTGCAAGGAACTTTCTAGTAATTCTGAAGACCTTGACTAGCTTGTTCAGGTGTGTTTGATTAGGGTTAGAGCTAAACTCTGCAGGAAAGTGGACCTTGAGGGCCAGAGTTGAGAACCCCTGACTTAAAGGGGCTGTTTACACCTGGTCACTTCATGCGTTTGTCCGAAACGCATTAGAGACTGATATAAATCCGATCACTCAAACCACTTCAGGAAGTGGTCTGGGCCGCATTCCAGACTAAACTGGCCCAGTGTAAATGCATCTGGTTGTTGAAACCACATATGTAAATTTCACTCCTCCCAAAATGTTAAAATAATAAACGTGTGAGAGCGTGTTATAAGCTATATGACATTATAGTCAGATATGACTGCGCTAATGCAACACGCATCGCAGTGGACGAGTAGCTGAGTATCTCTTCAGCAAGTCGACATGCAAACTGCCGCGAATGAAACAAAGTAATACGCAGACGGTCAACACACAATCATCTTCATTAAAAGTAGTAAGACAAACTTATCTTTCCAGTGCTGATGCACCGCGCTCTCCTATTTGCGGTCTTTGATCTTGAAATGAGCTGATATTTAATCAAATGCAGGGCT